GCTGTAAATGATGAAGTATTCATTAGTACACTGTTCAGTAACTTTTACACACTAATTTATATATAAATTATTCACACATGCATGATACATACAGACTACTCTGATGGCAAAAAAAAATTCCTGGTCTTTCCACAACTGTAACTTTCAAAGACCTAATTTACAGATTTTAACAGGATGTAAACTACCAAAATCACATAAATAATGTTTTATTATATTTCATTAAGACTGCACTAACAGCTGTACAAAATGTTCTAGCAATAACAGTAATATCTGAACTGTCAAAAAAACACTTATTCAACAATAACAAAAAAAGAGACAAAGAAACAAGCCATTAAAATAAATTCTAAATGAGCATGATTTTATAATATATATTAGAAATGTCTACAAATGAAAGAACAACTTACAGAATATTTATATAAAGTTATTGTGACGAACTTGTTCTGTGTCATGGTTACTAGGTTGTCTACAGTTGTCTCAACTAGCTCAATAAAGACACATTGACTAATTCCAGGAACTGTTTATTTACACAAGACAATACGTAAATACTGGACAAGTAACATTCACATGTTATTGGTGAATCCATCAGGTATTGGTAGATTGGCACCTACATTATTGTCTGTGTAAGCAGTACTTGTAACAAAACTGCTAATAAAATTCTCAGCACACGTTAGTGTCACATATTTACAATAATTAACATAACTGTACATCACAAACCAATGAACAATTAACATTTTATACATACAATATTATGTGACTGTTGAATTACATCAGACGTTGTAGTTTTAGCATAGGTAAGATGACTGCACAAAATGTAAGTGGTAAACTTATAAGTTATTATTAATTAAGTTATGTGTGTGGGTGTAATGTAATAAGTGCATAACGATATGATATGTGCTTACATCTGAAGGAATAAAACAATGCTAACTTATTTTTTCACAGTATTTATATAACATAGTTGCAAATTGTGAAATGTCTTTTGAGTGTCCAATTTATCAATAAGAATGTAATGTAAAGAAAAAAATGGAATTCTATAAGCTTACCATTGAAAGCCAGAATTGTTGTTCTGTTTCTATAGAATTTTAATTTTTTATAAACAGTTTAAGCTGTTTGTTGTCAAGAATACTCTAAGGGTATGGGGACCATCAAAATTTTTATGAATATTTCTTTTCATTTCAGCTCGCTTTGGAAGTTCTAAAATTGACCAAAATTTGATTGATAGAATTGAGAAAGTCACTGGAAAGCCAGCACACCATTTACTGAAAAGGGGAATATTTTTTTCTCACAGGTATTTCTAATACATACAGCATACTCACTGCTGTGTTAATCTAACTTAGAGTATGGACACACAAAGTTGTGCGAAACCACCTTTAGAGGAAACTGTTCACTTTAGGCTACTAAATCAGTTCACAAAAGCACGTCATGCATTTTGGAGCCGTGGATGTATTATAAAAGTGGCGGTCAAATTAAATTTGATAACAGTAACCCAATAGTTGGTAGTAAGTGCTGTTAACTATCTACCTCCTTTCTAATATATCATTTCAAAATTAGGGATGGTTATAAGCAGATATCACTTGTTTAGATTTTCAAAAAAATTATATAAAAAAACAAATTACAAAATCAGTTTGAATATGTTGATAAAGGAAAGGGTTAAAAACTTTGTTTGAAAACAGCATCTCCGAGCTAAAAATATCTCTTAAACTTAACAATTAATTAGTTGAAATGATAGTTAAAATAATAATTTTGATTTATGTATTTTTTTTATATTTATCTTTGCAACATTTTTAGTAATCCTTATTGTTGAACAACTTTTGTTTAAACTTGCTTTTCTTGGTTGAAACTGAGTGACTGACTGGCTTTAAAACATAAAAAAGTTTGCATAATACTTAAAGGTCCTTAGGAAGTGCTGTTTTAAAAAAAATATATATGTCTAGACATTACCCAAAGATCTATAATTGAATATGTATTTAATACATAATCATCACAATTCTAAGCTGAATACCTCGGGTGATAATGATAAAAAGTTAACACTGTTAGATTTCACAAATCCTCACTTAAAACTAGACACAACTCTGTTTTTCTTTAGCCATACTTCTGTTCATGTGTTGAATTTTTGTCATATATTAAAAGTTATGGAACCAATCTCCATATGATACTAGCAACAGAATAAGTTCTACAGTATTTGGTTTCCAAATTTTTCTTAAAAGATTGATAGTAATTTATTAGAAAGTTATGGAAGTTTAAAATGGATATTTCTTTTTCTTGTTTTCTAGAGATATGCATGAGATCCTTAACTCTTATGAAAAGAAGAAGCCATTCTTCTTGTACACTGGTCGTGGGCCTTCATCTGAGGCTTTACATCTGGGTCACCTGATTCCATTTGTCTTTTCCAAGTAAGAGTTTGAACTAACAAAGCATCCAAACATCCTAAAATACCCAGGATGAATGAACTTTAAAACAAATTTGAGGAAAAATATTTAGATGTTGTGCAATTACACTGTCCAACAAGTCATTTTCATCAGGTATGATTATGGGTGGGCTAGATAGCTCTTGGGATGCTGATTCAAAATCTGTTTTCCTCTAGCACGTCAAATTTTCATGATGAGACCAATCAAATTTGAAAGGTTATTGCCTTAATTATAATTTAAGTTGTACTTTTTTTTTTCATAAATGTGTACTGTATAAATTTAACTAAGTGTATGGCATTTATGGGATTTATACTGAAAAATGAACAAAGTAGTAATGTTAACTAGCCTAATGTGTGATTATTACCTAAATTATGCTGAAATTAATACCAGTCATGTTTGGATAACTAGATGTGCTAGAAGAAAATTGAAAACAGATTTGAAATAAGCATGCAAAACTGGTCGAGAAAAGTGTACTTGCATCTTTGATGAGAGAAAAAAAAAGTTTCATTTTGTCAACCAGTGTTATTTGTGAGAACGGGTATATGAAGAACTGGTACTAAAAATAATGGGTACATTGTTTTTAAGTAAGAAATAAAAGATGCTTCTCCACATGACAGGTAGCTAATACATTTTGCCATTGCCATAATATTGTTTTACATATAATAACATAAGTGTGCCAGTATATGATGCAATCAGCATTAGACCATACCCTTCTGCCAGTGTGGTTGGAATTCTATCTTTTTTTGTTGCTTGTATCCCTTGGGGATTTTTCTTCTTCTTCTTCTCCTACTTTTACTGTTTTTTTCTGAGGTTCTTTTTTCACAACCCCAATATCTTTACTAAGGTTGCACTAAACTATTCTTCATGCTGCCCTGTTTTCTTCCTTATCTGTTGCAGAGTTCACTTGCTTTCTTTGTTTCTTAAACTTGCCTCATCGAGGTGCCGTATTTTCTGTTGTTAGACTCCCTCAGTTTGGTCTTGGTAAATTCCTTTATGCAAAAGGTTTTGGGATTTCCTTATCCCATGTCCCTCTTATGAAAGGTCAGCCTTCTTAAGGCTCTGTAATCAGCTGTTTTTGTAACAAACTCACAGCTGTGCTCTTGTGAGAGTTTGGCTCATAAACTTTGTTCACCTGTGGACTTGCTTTGTGACCCAAGGTTTTCTCTTGGGACCTTTCTTTGTCTTTCTGGGCTTATGTCTCTCTGTTTTCAACTAATTCCTGAGAGCTTTCACATGAAGAATGCATCAATGGGTCTGCATTATAAGCCTGAGAGGCATCATCTGCTATAACAAAAAAATTATATGACTAGATATATATATATATATCAACTGGATATAATGGAACCCACCACATGGCGAGTGTTATTTCACAAGGAATACTTCTTTCTCCTTAAATCTGCCTCAAGTAGAGGATAGCAGAAAGGGTTAATCCCATCTGCTTCTGCTCAGTGCTCACTGTTGAAATAGTTTTCCACAAGAGTACTTTGGTAATTTATATATTTTACCATCCAAACCATACTAATACTTCTTCCAAAAAATAAAAGCACCAGCTGTGATTTCTTACCCTCACCTGGTTTGCTCCTACTGACACACTTTGCAGTAACCCAGTGCCCAGTCCCGGTGTGGGACTTATGGAGAAGATAGATTATTCCTGTTCAGTCCATGCTCCTTTCTGGTGTTCTCTCCTACACAAATTCCTCCATTTCATTTTCTTCTAGTGGAATGTAAGAACCCTTGCTTCCCCAGTACCAAACTGCTGCTGGGGTGGTCAGTATGGAGAGTGTTCCTTTGTGTCAGTATAATCCCATTCGTAAGAGCAAGTGGACACACCCTCGATTGGAAGTAAGGCAGGGGTGTCTATCTGGAAGAGTAGTACAGGCCATCCCCAACACTAAGAGCTAGACCATTCCTAATGATAGTGACCAGCCAAATTGGTCTTGCATTCTCTGTGAGACATAGGTATAGTATGATTCATCCATGTTCTTGATTATTCTGGTAAGTATATCATGTAAGTATTTGTAACAAACTGTATGGCATGACCTGTTTTCCTTACCTACACTAACATACATGGTCTGCCAACTACCTGAGATACACAGATTAGTTAAGTAGCCCACCTATGTAACAATTTAGCTCCACAAAGGAGGTTCTTTTGACTACCACTTGTATTGAGCAAAGAGTATTCCATGCTTGAGGTGAATACAGTCTCCCATTGAAGGATGATTCCAATAGGTTTACTTCTCATGGTTGATGATCTTTATTTAATTTCTTTTCCTCCACTGCCTTCTCAATGTGGGATTATGGGTATCTGTTCTGTGGAGAAGTGAATAGAATTTCTGAAGTTAACATTTTCCTTACCTGAAAATGTGTTTCAATTAGATACTCATTTCTCCAGAGAACTACCCATGCTTCCTTCTCACTTCCACTCGATAAGAATGAGTTTTTAGTACACCCAAAGTGATCAAGAGGTAATACTACATATGGAGGATGTGTTACCCTCCTATTGATAGAGGAATATAGTCTAATGCTGATTTCATCATAGACTGGCACAATAGATATTATTATGTATATGAGAGGGAGTTTCATTCAAAGGCTTGGTGCTTGTGCGACAACTGCTTGATAGTGGCACAAGATATTAGTTGTTTGTTTTGTGATGCGAGTATTTATCTGCAATACATTTTCAGGTAGGAAAATGTTAACTTTTAAAATTAACAAAAATGGGTCTAGTTTTCATAAAGTAAAACTTATCTGAAACTTGTTATTTAAGAATTTATTGTAGTAGATATTTTAATAGTATGTTTATACCTGCAATTAATATGAATTTAAGAAGCCAGAAAAATCACTTGTTTGTATATAGTAAAAGACTATTATATCATATGAAAATCATTCATCCATTATTCAGCATTGAACTGCATTTTCTCTAAGAAAGCAATGAATACGATTATTCTCTATCATAAAACAACAAAACAAAAACAGTCATTAGAAAATTTGTGTAAGGTAACGTATTTTGGGGATTACAATTTTTTAACTTTAATATTAAGAGCGTGATGAAAACTTTTCCATCAAAACTTTGTATATAAACATCCCTGTTGCTTTTTTTACCTGTGTAAATTGTGTTTGGTGAACAAAAATTTAAAAAACAGAAGTTCTTGCAAAATGCTGCATAAAATTCGAGATTCCTCAGTTAGTTAGGCAACACTGAAAAGGGACGATTTTAAGAGGTTGACAATTGTTATCCCTATAGATGGCTACAAGAAGTGTTTGATGTTCCTTTGGTCATACAACTGACTGATGATGAGAAATTTCTGTGGAAGAACCTCACTGTTGAAGAGGCAAGACACCTAGCTTTGGAAAATGCTAAGGATATTATAGCATGTGGGTTTGATGTTGAAAAGACATTTATATTCTCAGATTTTGAATTTATTGGGTAAGTTCAACAACAATTAAGTTTTACATGAAGTTTATACTTAAATTGAAGTAAATAACTTTTCATTTAAACACTTAAACTTTGCTTGAGGTAGGAATTTTAGATGAACTAACTGTTAAAAGTTTTGCCAAGGAGTATAAATGTAATACATCTTTACACACACGCACGCACACACACACACACACACACTTTGGGCAAGTAACAATGTGATCACATGTACCCAAATGGCACAAAATATGACAGCAAGTGTTTCACAATGTATAAAACAAATGTTATTTCCAGCAGTACAAAGGCGAAAGTAGTCTGAGCATAAATCAAGAATTCATATTTTGATACTATGCACTTATGATTTTATTGTCAGAAACTATTGACAGTACTGGGTTTATTTTGTTTATATTTATATTGTTTATTAACTTGTAGATCAATTGGTTGATTTCTACTAAGTTGTCAAACAAACTGTTGTCCTACCAGGACTCAAGTCCTGCTGGGTATATACAGAAAGTTAATGCACACACACACACACACATATATATATTATTATTATTATTACTTGCCGTATACTATATCTAGGGATTAGACCTAGATTAACATTAGTAGTAATAAAATGATGTAGGTGTCCTAATGACAATGAAAAGGCGTATGTATAGTTTTTAGCAGTATTGATAAACACTTGAAAATTGTAGATCTAAGCTTTATTATACTTTCTGTTTAGTATCATCATTGCTACAGTGGAAGTGTCAATTCCTTTTTGTATATAATGCTATGGATGTACACAACCCAAGCACTAGATGTAGGCCTAGATCTAAAATAAGTCACAGTTTGTCTACATGTGGACTCAGTTTTTGATGTTGTTGTAGTTTTTTTTTTTTTTTCTAATTTAGGATGGTTTGATATCACATGATGAGCATGAGGCTTAATGACTAGAACCTTCTTGAAAGTTCAGGAAATGATTTGAGCAATATAAAATATGAGTTAGGTTATAGTAGATGATTATTTAATTTGAGTTTGTTATAGTGGATTGATTGCTTATAGAGTTAGTGAGTTTATTAATCAGTTTGTTTTTTATTGTCAGTCAGTTCAATTTTGTGAATATTGAGTTTGTGATTTGATGAAAAAATAGAGATACAAGAAAGTGCCATACATGTGAGAAAAGCTAGCAAGTAAATGAAATTGTATTAATGTCTACAGTAAATTCAGGGTTATCAGTGCACATCAGACTAAAACTAATTTATAGAACTTGAGTTCAAGAAATAAAACACTTTCATTAACATCAGATTGTCTGTAGTCTTTGCATTCTTGTTTTTACTAAATAATCCAAAAGGACCTACCTAACAGAAACAGTTACAACAGTATTTGCACTTGTTACTGCTTAGATCCATATTGAGATCTAAATTAGCATACTATTAAAGCTTTATGTTGCAGCAATATGGCAGTATTTGCCTGATGTAGGAAAGCCTATGGGCAAAAACTAAAACATAAGGTAATGTTTGGAGTTTAATGTAAATTGCTCATGTATTTGAAGAGATTAAACAAAGTTATCAGTAAATGGAAACTTACAGTTTTTTTGGCACTTAAAAATTTGGATAATACTTAGAAAATTTTGCTTCTTGGTTAACCCTTTCACTGCAGCTGGGACATATATTTCCCAGTGTGACCACCCCCTCACACTGTGACTGGGAGAGAGAGAGAAAATTATTCCTGCAATTATTGCAACAGAATGTTATCTTTCCAAACGTAAAACATTTCGGTACAAATGCAGAATTATTGATTTCCTTTCTGCTTATAGTTTAGCACCAGAGATTTCTTTGGCGAAAGGCCTTATTGCATTAAATATTGTAGATTAAGTGTGGTTAAAGTATTACATTTTTTTTCTATACTTTTACTCATAGGTACTTAGATTTACAATAATATTTTATGGGTGAACAGTAGGTGTAAGTACAAATCGTTAATTTTTAACTTTACAAGATAAATAAAAGACTGGGAATTTAAAAACCTGCAAATAGGGATCATAAAAAATAATATAAGCAAACACAACTGGAGATACTATAGACATTATTTACTCAAACTACAAACCCCTATTTTGGCTCCATGCTGTTACATAGAATTAATTTGGTGGAGTCAAAAATAGGGATTTGTAGTCTGAGTAAATATTGTCTACAATACCTCCAGCCTTGTTTGCTTACTTTTTTTATGATCCCTATTTTCAGGTTTTTGAATTCTCAATTTTTTATTTATCTTGTTTGTTGGCTTTTTCTATGTTCAACTATGGGCAAAGGATTACTTGATATGGTATCTAACTGATACGGTTCACGATTATTTACTGTAGTCTTTGACTATTTGATCGCATTACTTTGAGATGTAAATTGTAAAACTGCAGCTGGAGGTTGTCATAGAGATTTCTTTGAGTATATAGTGAGCATTTATACTTTCTCTGTAACTAAATTTTCTGTGTATAATGCATAGCAATGAGCAAATATTTGCCTAGACACAACCCCCACTGTGTATAAAATTTTACGAGTAGAAAAGCAGCCTTTTCATGTATAACATATACATCTAAAACATTGCTTTAAATAAACTTTTGTGTCTTTTAAAGTAATTATTCTACTAATGTGTGTAATAAAATTTAATATTGTGTGTATTGATTTTTTTTTTTACTCCTTCA